TCCATCAACTCCATTTGGGTTGGAGATACAGAACTTGAGGTTGATCCCACCATCTTTTCCTCAACAGTCACTGGATGGAACGAGATCTGCTGCTGAGGGATCTTGTCTATCAACTCCATTTGGTTTGGTGATAGAGAACTTGAGGTTGATCCAACCATCTTTTCCTCAACAGTCACTGGATGGAACGAGATCTGCTGTTGAGGGACCTTGTCTAACAACTCCATTTGGTTTGGTGATACAGAACTTGAGGATGGTCCTACTGCAGCTTCTTGGACACCTGGGAATTCTGTCCGATGCCCAGACAAGACAACTGGGGAGGATGCCTTAGACGGGAGACTACCACGTCTGGATGACATATCATCATCACGCATACCATCTGTTTCTTCCCTTCCTTCCACACCGCTCTTCCCAGGATCTTCCTCGTCCTCTGAATCCAGATCCATATCTTGGATTTCCAGGTCAGTATCGCTGCTTTTGGAGAGCATGAGATCCACGGATCTCAAGTCCACACTTTCTCCATCTTGCTCATCTATACGGAGTCTAGGCTGGTTGTCCACTTCGCTTCCTGGATTCGCGGGTTCCCAAGACGTCACACCTGCTTTGAACTCTGCTGCTTTCGACATTCCTGGGTTGGAACTCCCATCAGGCGGGTTGTCCTTCACTTCTTCTGAAGACCCCGCATCAGTTTCCCGATGCGCTGCCGAAACGGCAACGTCAATGCTGGCGATGATGGGCTGTTCGTTTCTGGAACCCTCCTCCGCAGGTCCCGTAAGCGGAGACGCGTCATTTTGGGAAATTCCAACTAACTTAGTCTCTTGACTTCTGTCTGTCTTGGTTTGAGGGATCACACGGTCGTCGACCCCAGGCGGGTTTTCAACAGGAAGCACAGGGTGAAGTGAGGTTTGTTCTTTGGGCTCCGCATTGACCCCCTGGAAAAAATAAATAAATCCAGCTTTCAGAGTGGCGGACAGACACAATGCAAAAAAAATAAATAAATCTCTATGGGTTTTAAAACCAACAAGCTATGCTAGAATAGGAACATATAGGCAGGACTTGACTTACGACCAAATCCCCCCTCCTTTTTCTTCTGCCTCCCCTCCCTCTTTTCTCCTTCCTTCTTCCTCCTCTCCCTTCCTTTCTCCTTCTCCTCCCTCCCTTTCTCCTCCTCTTCCCTTCTTTCTCTTCCTCTCTCTTCCTTCCTCTTCTCCTCCCCCTCCTCCCTTCCTTTCTTCTTCTCTTCCTCCTTTCCTCCTCATCCCCCCTTTCTCCTCCTCCTCTCTTTCTCTTCCTCTCCCTTCCTTCCTCCTCCTTCCCCTCCTTTTCTCCTTCTCCTCTTCCTCCTCCTCTCCTCCTTTCTTTCTCTTCCTCTCCCTTACTTCCTCCTCCTCTCCTCCTCTCTTCTTTCTCTTCCTCTCCCTTACTTCCTCCTCTCTCCTCTCCCTCCTCCCTGTTCCTTTCTCCTTCTCCTCTTCCTTCTTCTCCCCCTTTTTTCCTTCTCCTCTTACTCCCTTTTTCTCCTCCTCCTCCTTCCTCTCTCCTCTTCTGCTCCCCCTTCCTTTCTCCTCTTCTTCCTCCTCCTTTTCTCCTCCTCCTCTGCCTCCTCCTCCCTTTCTCCTCCTCTGCTCCCCCTTCCTTTCTCCTTCTCTTCTTCCCTTCCCCCTTTTTCCTCTTCTTACTCCCTTTTTTCTCCTCCTCCTCTGCCTCCTCCCCCTTTCTTTCCCCTTTTCCTCTTCCTCCCCCTCCCCCTTTACTTCTCTTCTTTCTCCCTTTTTTCTCCTCCTCCTCCGCTCCCCCTTCCTTTCTCCTTCTCTTCTTCCTCCTCCCTCCTTTCTCCTTCTTCCCCTCCCCCTTTTTCCTTCTCCTCTTACTCCCTTTTTTCTCCTCCTCCTCCCTCCTCTTCTGCTCCTCCTTCCTTTCTCCTCCTCTTCTTCCACCTCCTCCCTCTTTTCTCCTCCGCCTCTGCCTCCTCCATATACCCTCCTCGCCCTGATGATGTTACTTAGTCGGGTCATGAAACATCTGCAAGCACACAAGCTCAAGAGATCACCACAGACTCCACGATTCAACCCCGATCTGCACACCTTCTCTCCCGTGGGTGCTAACCGGAAATCCCTTGCCCAGGAGGGTACTTTACAGCTTTGTCGTCCGTTGGATCTACGGGGACCACCAAAACCTTACCTCATCAACAGACTTTAGAGGAGGACGAGACGGTCCTTCCTTCTCAGGCAGATCCTTGGCTTCTTCGGGCTTTGTCTCAGGACTCTCATCCTCTAAGGAGTCGGCGGAGGACAGTTCGTTCCCCGGGAGTATCTTCTCGGAAGGAGAAACCGAGCCATCTTGCCCTCCTTCGGCAGGGATCTGGAGGGCTTTGGGACGTTTCTCCAACATGTAAGGTCCACCCCCATCGTCCATGGGTTCCAAGGGGTCCACCAGACTGTTCAGGGAGACGTATTTGGCCGGGTTGCTGTGCTCCACTACTTTTCGTACCGTCAGCGCTTTGATCGGTTTGCTATAAAACAGCGCCATCCACACATGGAGGATCAGTCTCATTTCTTCCATGTCATCCGAGAGGCTTTCGTCCCAGGGCCTGGAGGAAGGAGAAGGGAAAGTGGGAATTGGGTCTGACGTTGAAACATGCTCGTCGCTTGGCTTTGCAACTTCTTACAATACTAGACAACACTAGTATCAACGGTAGAGATCTTCAAGTTTCTAGGTTCTATCATATCACAAGACCTAAAATGGACACCTAACATCAAAAACGTCATCAAAAAGGCACAACAAAGAATGTTCTTCCTGCACCAACTCAGGAAGCTCAAACTGCCCAGGAAGCTGCTGATCCAGTTCTAGAGAGGAATGATTGAGTCGGTCATCCGCACCTCTATCACTATCTGGTTTGGTCCTGCAACCCAACAGGACAGACACAGACTTCAGAGGATAATTCGGACTGCAGAAGAAACAATGGCTACCAACCTGCCTTCTATGGAGGACCTGTATACTGCACAGTCAGAAAGAGGGCTGTGGAAATATTTACAGAGCCCTCACATCCTGGACATAAACTGTTTCAACTCCTTCCCTCAAAACAACACTATAGGGCACTGCACACCAGAACAACTAGACACAAGGACAGGTTTCCCTGAATGCTGGTAAACTCTGCTAAACAACTAACTCCCACAACACTGTAAAACTATTTACTAAGGCTGCATTACTATTACTATTAATCTTCTCATCACTCCTGATCACCCATCTCCTTCCACTTGTGACTGTATGACTGTAACTTTGTGGCTTGTATCCTTATGATTTATATTGACTGTTTGATTAGATTGCTTATTATATACCCTATGACTATCATTGAATGTTGTACCGATGATTCTTGACTCTTGATGAATTTATCTTTTCTTTTATGTGCACTGAGAGCATCTGCACCAAAGACAAATTCCTTGTGTGTCCAACCACATTTGGTTGATAAATAATTCTATTCTATTCTATTCCTATTCTATTCCTATTTTCTATTCTATTCTACTCTACTCTACTCTACTCTACTCTACTCTACTCTACTCTACTCTACTCTACTCTATTCTATTCTTATTGTGCCCTATGACTATCATTAAGTGTTGTACCTGATGATACTTGACACTTGACGAATTTCTCTTTTCTTTTATGTCCACTGAGAGCATTTGCACCAAGACAAATTCCTTGTGTGTGCAAGGAATTATGTCATACTTGGCCAATAAAGAATTCAATTCAATTCTATTCAATTCAATTCAATTTCTATTCTATTTCTATTATTTCTATTTCTATTTCTATTTCTATTTCTATTTCTATTCCATTCTATTCCATTCCATTCAACCGGCAACCACGAGAGTTGGAAACGAGTTCGAGGAGAGAAGCAACCTGCAACCTGTGACATGATAACAGCGTTTCAATACCTGAGGGGCTGCTCCCCAAGAAGTGTGTGTGTAGGGGGGGGGGTGTCAACTAATTTTCCAAAGCACCAGAAGGCGAGGCAAGAAACAACGGATGGAAACTAATTGAGGAGAAAAGCAACCTGGGACTAAGGAAGGATTTCTCAACAGTGACAACGATCCGCCAATGGAACGACTTGCCACCAGAAGTTGCGGATGCTCCAACACTGGAGGTTTATAGGAAGAGAATAGACAGCCATAGGGTCTCCTGCTTGAGCAGGGGGCTGGAGTAGATGACCTCCAAGGTCCCTTCCAACTCTGTTATTCAGTTTACAGCGCAAACAAACGGTACTAGTGTCAGCGTTCCAGAAAACCTCCACTCCAACAAATAACTCGGGGACCGATATCTTCCCAAAAGTTCTGTTTTAATTGGATAGTAAATTGGCACATGCTGAATCTGCTTCGTTGCAATAAGTAAACACTACAAATCCACCCCCTGCACCCCATCATCGCATCACATGCCCCAATCCCCATCCGTCCCAACTGGAGACTTTCCCTTCACCCAGGTGCAGAAAGAACATGACCTTGACTTAGAAAAAGAATGCTATTATGTCTAACCACATACACTCCGAGAAATTCCACCCCCCTCTCCCATTTTTCCAGGCTCAAGAACGTGGCAGTGTGGAAGTGTTGGGTGTTGATATGGCTTCCAAAGCCGACAACTACATCGGGGGCGTCAAACACAAGGCCCACAGGCCACATCTGGCCCCCATGGCCGTCTTGGAAACATGTAAGGGGCTGGCCTGCGACGCTGCGAAGAGGAAACATGCCAGCAGTTTGGGGAGTGGCATCAAGCTGGCCACGCCCACCCAGTTGGCCACACCCAGTCGGCCATGCCTGCCCGGTGCCCCAAGGACAACCAACAACCCTGCTGCGGCCCTTAATGAAATTGAGTTTGACACCCCTGTAGTAAACTAAACTTATCGCTTTCAACTCAACTACTAGCTTAGTAGACCCAGGGAATGCTGAAGACATAGTATATCTTCCCCTCAGCAAAACCTTTGACAGAGTCTGCCAAAAAAAAATGGATTTATTTTTGACCAGCAATAATGTCCGTTGAGATTTCCCGCTTTCCGCCCATAGGACACAGACAGTCCTTGACCTACGACCACAATTGAGCTCCAAATTTTCGTTTAACCACTGCAAGGCAGTTGTTACATGAGTTTCGTCCCATTTTACAATCTTTCTGGACACAGGTGTTAAGTCAATCGCTTCAGTTGTGAAGTTAGTAACCCGGTTCTTAAGTGAATCTGACTTCCCTCATTAACTTGGTTTGTCCGACGGTGACAAAAGAGGGGAATCACATGACCACGGGACACTGCGACTGTCGTAAATATGAGTCAGTTGCCAGGTGACTGAATTTTGATCACCTGACCACGGGGAGGCCGCAACAGTTGTTAGGTGTGAAAAATGGCCACAAGCCTCTTTTTTTCAGTGCTGTTGTAACGTTGAATGGTCACTAAGCGAACTGTTGTAAGTCGAGGATTACCTGTGGAAAAAGTAATCCTTTTTCTAACAATCCCAATGAAGAATTGTCATCTTTACCGCTGGAAGTGTTTGCCGGATCAAAGTTTTTGCTAAACGATCAAACCAAAGTCCAGATCCATCAGTTCAGCTCCCAAATTGATTTCGGAAAACAACCAGGAGGAAAATGATTTTGAATCCATCCCCCCCCCACAAAAAAACTTGTCTTACTGTTCTGACCAAGGCTTCCCGAGACCGTATTTAAGCACACGCTTAGTTAAAACAACTCGTTTTATTTCAACGCTGGGAATTATGTGCACTCCCAGCTGGTAATGAATCCCAAACAGTCCCTTGAGATAAGCACCCACCTCTCTCTCTCCTTTGAATTGCTGCCAACAACTGAAGTGCCAAATGAACTGTAAAAAACCAACCAAAGTACAAAGTCCACACCGAGCTTCAAGGTTTAATCCGAACAGAGAGAACGGCTTTTGTTAGGCATGTAAGTCACCTAATAATTGGGTTGGAAAATATATAAACCAGGATAGACATTTTAATACTGTCTCTTTAAGGGAATGCTAAAAGTGTAATTGGGTGTGGTTCCTCAAACGGCCATAAGATGGAGCCGGAAACCTGGGTTGTTTTAGTCTCAGAAGAGAGTGTGAGTGTATCTCGGTTTCCTTCTGTTGGAGAGTATTGCCGTTCCTCCTAATTGACTGTTATTCTTGTATTTGATGTAAGTCTGTTACTGAACTGTTTTTGATACTGGACTTTGATATTTGGCTTATCCCTGAACTGAACACCGACTGCTTTACCTGTGAATGACTTGGACTGCTTGTCTGGACTTTGCTTAAACGTTTATTGGAAGTAAAAACCTACATTTACTGTACAGTGTATCCGCGTGCTGTGTGTGTGTTATTCTTCACCACTCTCACTACGTCTCCCTGTATGTGCTCATTCTCCTAACGGGGAACTGCCTCAACAACTTTGCTTCCTACAAAGGTTTCTCTACCTTTGCATCTCCTTTATACCTTAGGGGAGGGGCAATCACCTCCCAGCCTTACTCTTGAGTCGCTCCTTTTGTCCTAACTGTTCTTGCCTTCTGGCAGCTCTGTGCATATGTGCACTGGGAACAGGCTCCCTTCGTTCCTCTGCCTCGCTGCTGTCAGATTCTGGAGGCTCCAGAGTCAGCACCCCACTCCCAGATGGTCCTGGCACTATCTCCGCATCGGGCACAGGACCATCATCCGAGTCCTCCCCAGACTCCCGCACTGGTCCCCGTTCTTCCCCACTGTCCGATTCTGCTGCCGTCTGTACAGGCTGCCGGCGAACCACAACACTGACTCCCAAACCACACCGGTATTTATTTTATCTACGAGAGCCTCACTTACCCATGTACCGCCCGGATGATGGTTTTTTCTAAGGAATTATTCGTATATTTGCTGTCCAAGTTGAAGACGTATTCCGCCTCCCACTGGAACGTGACTTGGACTGTTTTGTCGCACGAGGTCACTTGGTGACTGGTGGAGAAATCCTCCCTCAGCCGGGTGGCCAAGACGGTGGAGCGAGCGGGAGGTAAATGGTTCGAAACCGGTTTGCCCAAATTCTCCTGGGGCTGGAAAGGAAGCAGTTTTCCAACCAATGGACCCGGCTTATCCTGATTCACCCCGTTCCTCGAGTCCGGAGAATGCGGCGTCCCCTGTGTGGAAGTCTCGGAGATGGGAGTGGCGTACGAGTGCTCTAAAGAAATCATGACACTCGAGTCCAACGGATCCCCGGTCTCGTTCGGAAGTGCTGGAGGACTTTTGACGAAGCTGGTCCTCGCCTTTTTCTTTTTGGCGGGATTGAGGGTGCTTCGGTCCTTCGTGTTCAAAGGCCAGTCCTTATCCCGGCCGGTTTCTTTGGCGGGCCAAAGGGATGATCGGGACATCTGTCCCGGCAGGAAAGCGCCTTTCCGTTTCTTGGTAGCCCTGTGATATTCGTGATCCAATGATTTGTGCAAAAATTTCCCGCGGGGGAGACGATGTTCCCGGGACAGACGGAAACGCCCGAAATCTCTTCGACTGTTCCCATCCAAGGGAGAGTTACAGGAGCTCAGGGCTAAATCAGCCAACAAGTTCAATGCATGGGAATCGCACTCTTCCCTTCCAGTGGGCATCTGGTGGGCGTCCAGGGCAGCCGCGTCCTTTTCTACGGAGGCAGCCTCGGTCCATTGCTTTTCGGAAGAAACGATGTGGAGGTTTTTCCTTGGAGCTGTGCAAGGAGAGACAAAAA